TTGGTTTTGACTTCCTGTGCTTCTGGGGTATTTTCCAAGAAGTCTTTGCCAGTACCTATATCTTGCAGGGTTTTTCCAGTGCTCTCTAGTAATTTGATGGTATTGGGTCGTAGATTTAAGTCTTTAATCCATGTTGAGTGAATTTTTGTGTAGGGTGAAAGGTAGGGGTCTTGCTTCATGATTCTGCACGTGGAAATCCAATTTTCCCAGCACCATTTATTGAATAGACTGTCCTTACTCCAGGGATTGGTTTTGGATCCTTGATCAAATATGAGTTGGCTGTAGATGTTTGGATTGATTTCTGGTGTTTCAATTCTGTTCCATTAGTCTACCCATCTTTTTCTGTACCAGTACCATGCTGTTTTGATAACAACTGCCCTGTAGTATGTCCTGAAATCTGGTATTGTGATGCCTCCGGCTTTGTTTTTGTTGTACAAGATTGCTTTAGCTATTCGAGGTCTCTTGTGCCTCCATATAAATTTCAGCACCAATTTTTCCAGATCTGAGAAGAAGGTCTTCGGTATCTTGATTGGTATTGCATTGAATCTATAAATTGCTTTTGGGAGAATGGACATTTTGATGATATTGATTCTTCCAATCCATGAGCATGGAAGATTTTTCCATTTTTTGGTATCCTCTTCTATTTCTTTCTTTAAGGTTTTGTAATTTTCATCGTAGAGATCTTTAACGTCCTTGGTTAAGTGTATTCCAAGGTATTTGATTGTTTTTGTAGCTATTCTGAATGGGATTGATCTTAGAAGTTCTTTCTCAGCTGTGGTATTGCCTGTGTATACAAAGGCTGTTGATTTTTGTGCATTGATTTTATATCCTGCTACTTTGCGAAACTCTATAGAAGAGTTCCAATAGTCTCTTAGTAGAGTTCTTTGGGTCCCCTAGGTAAAGAATCATATCATCTGCAAAGAGGGATGGTTTGAGTTCTTCCTTCCCAAGAAGAATTGGAGTTAGTTCTTCTTTAAATGTCTGGTAGAATTCAGCAGTGAATCCGTCTGGTCCTGGGCTTTTCTTTGTTGGGAGGTCCTTTATTACTGTATCAATCTGTCTCAGTTATGGGTCTGTTTAGGTTTTCTATGTCTTCCTGGTTCAATTTAGGTAGGTTGCATGTGTCCAGGAATCTCTCCATTTCTGATAGGTTTCCCTGTTTGCTGGCATACAGGTCCTTGTAGTAATTTCTGATGATTCTTTTTATTTCTGTGGTGTCTGTTGTTACATTTCCTTTTTCATCTCTGATTTTATTGATTTGGGTCTTTTCTCTTCTTTTTTTAGTTAGTTGGGCCAATGGGGTGTCAAGTTTGTTTATTTTTTCAAAAAACCAGCTCCTTGTTTGGCTGATTTTTTGTAATTTTTTTTGATTCAATTCTGTTGATTTCTTCTCTGATTTTAATTATTTCTCTTCTCCTACTAGATTTGGGTCTGGTTTGCTGCAGATTTTCTAGATCCTTGAGATGCAGTGAAAGCTCATCTACTTGGTGCCTTTCCAATTTCTTGATGTAGGCACCTATTGATATAAACTTTCCTCTTAACACTGCTTTTGCTGCGTCCCATAAGTTTTGGTATGTTGTGCTGTTATCCTCATTTGCTTCCAGAAAATTTTTGATTTCTCTTTTCATTTCTTCTATGACCCATTGTTCATTCAGGAGCATGTTGTTCAACCTCCATGCGTTTGCATATGCTCTAGGGATTCCTGAGTTGCTTATTTCCAACTTCATTCCTTTATGGTCTGAGACGCTGCATGGTATGATTCTAATTCTTTTGAATTTGCTGTGATTTGCTTGATGGCCTAGTATGTGGTCAATCCTAGAGAAGGTTCCATGTACTGCTGAGAAGAATGTAAATGCTTTCTGTGTAGGATGAAAAGTTTTGTAGATATCTGTTAGATCCATTTGGGGTATAGTGTTGTTTAAATCTACTGTATCCTTGTTGATCTTCTGTCCTGTTGATCTGTCTATTTCTGAGAGTGGGGTATTGAAGTCCCCCAGTACTACTGTCCCTTAACAAATCTTTTAAATAAACTGGTGCCCTGTAATTAGGTGCATATACATTGATAATCATTATATCTTCCTGTTGAATTGATCCCTTAATCATTATATAGTGCCCCTCTTTGTCTCTCCTAACAGTTTTTGTGGTAAAATTTATGTTGTCCGATATTAAGATGGCTACGCCCGCTCTTTTTTCATTTCTCTTTGCATGGTATATCTTTTTCCAGCCTTTCACTTTCAGTCTGTATGGATCTTTATTGGAAAGTTGTGTTTCTTGTAAGCAGCAAATAGATGGGTTTTGTTCCTTAAGCCAATCAGCCAATCGGTGTCTTTTAACTGGACAGTTCAGGCCATTAACGTTCAATGTGACTACTGATAAGTAGTAGCTTTGCCCTACCATTTGCTCAAGATATTTTCTGATATATATTTTGAACTTCTTGTGTTCTTTTGGTGTGAGATTTCCTTCATTTCCCTTCTTTCATATTGATGACCATGTTTCTGTGTTTCTGTGTGTAACACATCTTTAAGCATCTTTTGCAGGGCTGGACGAGTGGCCACAAATTCTTTCAATTTCTTTTTGTAGTGAAAGGTCTTTATTTCACCTTCATTCACAAATGAGAGCTTAGCAGGATATAATATTCTGGGCTGGCAGTTTTTCTCTCTTAGTACCTGGGCTATATCTCGCCATTCCCTCCTAGCTTGTAGGGTTTCTGATGAGAAGTCAGCTGTGAGTCTGATTGGAGATCCTCTGAGAGTAATCTGACGTTTCTCTCTTGCACATTTTAGGATCTTTTCTTTATGTTTCACTGTGGTGAGTTTAATTACAACGTGTCGTGGTGAGGATCTCTTTTGGTCATGTTTATTACGGGTTCTATGAGCTTCCTGTATTAGGATGTCTCTGTCCTTCTCCAAACCTGGGAAAGTTTCTGCTAATATCTCACTAAAAAGGCCTTCTAATCCTTTCTCCTTCTCCATGCCTTCAGGAACTCCTGGAACCCGAATGTTGGTTTTTTTAATAGTATCCTGAAGATTCCTGACAATATTTTTTAGATTTCTAATTTGCTCTTCTTTTCTTTGGTTTGATTGTATCTTTTCCTGTGCTCTGTCTTCTAAGTCTGATATTCTCTCTTCTGCTTCACCCATTCTGTTTTAAGGCTCTCTAATGTGTTTGTCATTTGATCTGTCGAATTCTTCATTTCATTATGATTTCTCATCACTATCACAGTTTCATTTTCTACTAGTTGTTTCATTTCATTTTTATTCCTCCTTTATATTTCATTTTCGTGCGAGAGATTTTCTATCTTGTCCGTTAAGGATTTCTGTAGTTTGAGATTTGTTTTTGAGAACTTCTTAATGTTCTTATCAATTTTTTGAGATCTGCTTCTTGCATTTTTTCTGTCTCATCATCTTCATAATCTTGAATTGGGGTGTCTATTTCATTCGGGGGCGTCATAGTGTCTTCCTTGTTCTTGTTACCTCGGCTTATGCATTTGTTTGGCATTTTGTAGATATTCTTTGGTTTTTTCTTGTTATACTGTGACTCTAGATTAAGAGGACTGTCTGCTTTTGATGGATCCTTAGAGGCTGTGATGGGTGTGGCCAGAGAGCTCTGGTTCTACAGGGTTAAGGGTGTGCCAAAAGTGCTTCACCCTGATTGTTCTCTAGCTCGCTCGTGTGTGCTCTCTCTCTCTCTCTCTTTTTTTTTTTTTTTTTTTTTTTTTTTTTTTTTGACTCAGTTGGGAAGTAATTCCACACAGCTGAGTGGAATTGAGAGTAGTTGATGTATGAAATCTGGCCCCTGTGGGTATTCCTTTGCTTACCAGAGTCAGGTTTTTCTGCTTGGCTAATGAGGGGCACCCGCTTTACATATGCAAAATGGCACGCACTGCTTTACTTACGTAAAATGACGCCTGCCCTTTGTCTTGCTCGGCTTTGTAAGGTGAGTGGAGAGAGAGGCTAAATGTCCGTGCAGGTTCCCCTTATTTATTCGATTTTTTTCTCTCCTCCAGCCAGCCTGGTAAACTTTCCCCAATGGGGTTTCAGGCCTCGTTCTCTGCAGGCTCTTTCTGCCTTTCCCTGCCAATGTTTCGGGTTACGGAGAGGTTGTTTTTGTCTCACCTCCCCTTCCAGCACTGGCGCACAGACTCTGCAGCTCCGGTGGGTCCAGCGGGTCTGGCGGCTCGGCTTCCTTGCAGTGGGAATCCTTGCTGTCCCCCTAGGTCCTCCGAGTCACAGCCACTAGATCTGGAAGAGTTTCCTCTGCAATTTTTCCCTGATCTTAGCCACTTGCATGTTTTGTCCTGTTGACTAGAGTGGAGCATGCTCATAAAATCTTTGTATCTTTAAAGATTTATTTATTTATTTGAAAGTCCAGGAGAGAGAGAGAGAGAGAGAGAGAGATATCTTTCATTTGCTTGTTAACTTCCCAGACAGCCGCAGAGGCCTGGCTGAGCGAGGCCAAAGCCAGGGGCCAAGAACTTCATCCACGTGGGTAACAGAGACTTAACCTGGGCCATCCTCTGCTGCTTTTCCAGTTGCATCATCAGGGAGCTGGATAAGAAGTGGAGCAGCTGGGACTCGAACTGGTGCCCAGATGGAGTGTTGGTGGCTTTATCTGCTAAGCCAAAACATTGGCCCCCACAAAAAATCTTTTTGTTCTGACTTGTAGCTTTGAATCAGAGCAGCTCTGACCCTTGTGGCCATCTGGGGAGTGAACCAGCAGATGGAAGACTTCTCTCTCGATCTCTCTTTCTCTGCCTCTGCCTCTCTGCCTTTCAAATAAATAAATAAATCTTTAACAAAAGTCTGATTGGTCACAAAGAAGGGAACATTTCCCCAGTGAATGCCCAGAGCCAGGCACTCTTCTTAGGGTTAATGTGCATTAACTCCTGTACATTTCAGAAATCACCTCTGTCCAATTATGAGTAGAGTTAGCCAATATTCACCTTGTTGTCTCACTTGGGATATTTGTTTTATTTTCATGACTTTTTTCTTCTCTTCCAGCTCTTCTTTATGCAACTATATTTGGAAATGTTACCACAATTTTCCAGCAGATGTATGCCAACACCAACCGATACCATGAGATGCTGAATAACGTCCGGGACTTCCTGAAACTCTATCAGGTCCCCAAGGGCCTCAGTGAGCGCGTGATGGATTATATTGTCTCGACATGGTCCATGTCAAAAGGCATCGACACTGAGAAGGTATGGGTTATCATTATTATCATTATCATTATTATTATTAATTTTCTATTTCAGTGGCTCCTTAGATGCATATGGCTTTCTAACTCATGTGTTGCTCGCATAAATTGCTTTATAAATGATACTCTCTACTTTGTAAATGACATATCAATCAAATTTATTGAGTGTTTATAAGGTGCAAAGCACTTAATCATTAATCATTGATTAGTACCAGTCATCACACTGAATTTAGAAAAATCAGTTCTGGCAAACAGCTAATCACTGCATTTCCTGAGGACACTCTCATTAGCAACCATGGAAGTCTGCTGCATTTGTCCAAAGCTAGGAGCCCTGTTACTTCTCCTGGTAGAGTTTATTTTTGATTTCTCCTTGACATTTGCCCATTCAAATATTAAAAAGGAATCTACTTGGCTAAATGTGACTATTCCAAAAAGCTTGTTGAAAACTGAATGAAAAGATAAAATTGATGCAAAAAACTTTTAAATCCATGTTTAGTGTTTTTTTCAGCATTTGTATTTCCCATGAACTTTGTAAAGACGCCTGTAAAGGGAAAATTTCCATGTCTTCTAAGTCACCTTCCACTTGAATTCTTCCCACCTCTTACACATCTTACAAAGCCACTCATAATTCTTCATTTTTCACTTTGTGTTACACAAGTCTATAAAAAGGATACCTCCTTCTTTAATTAGCTGACATTGCTGTTTCTTCCTTGTATTTTCATAAACTGCTTTTAATGTTTTTCACCTATTTCATATTTGGGGCAAAGAAGGACTCAAACTGCTTGTTACAATAAATAAGAGCAAATAAAAAATTGCGTCCTGCAACCAGCAGGTTCACAGCAAATACAGAGAATGACAACTGGAGTTTTCACACTGAGTGTCAGAGAACGCCTGTCGGAGCTATTTTGCTTTTATAAAGCATCAGATGAGACTCTTCTTTGTAGATATTGATTTCTTACATATGATATTTAAATGACAGAATATCTGCCTTACGGTTCCCATACATTTGTTTTTAATTTTCACAATATCTTCATTCCTGTCCCCACAAATTTATTCTAATTTTTATTTATTCACTTGAGAGGAAGAGAAACAGAAAGAGGGAAAGAAGAGAGGGGAAGAGAGAGTAAGAGGGGAGGAAGAGAGAGAGAAAAAAAGACAAAGAAGAGAGAGAGAGAGAGAGAATGAGTGAGTTCCCATCACTGGTTCATTTCCTCAGGTCCACAGTGCTTAGGGGTGGGCCAAGGCTGAAACCAGGAGCCGGGGACTCAACCCAGGTCTCCCCTGTGGGTGGCAGGAACGCAGTTACTTGCGCCTCACCTGCTGCCTCCAGGGTCTGTGTAGGAAGGAGATCCAGAGGCAGCAGGTGGACCCAGGTCTCTTGATGTGGGACAGGGGTGTCTTAACCATGAGGCCGAGCAGCCCCGTCTCGTTGTTCTTTCAACTTTCTGAGATTGCTTTTGGTTTTTCTCTCAGACTTGTGCAACAAGCATGTTTCCATTTGAAATGGGAAGAACAAATGAGCAAAGTAAAAGTTTATTTAGAGGCCTTTCCCAAAACAAGTAAGTGTTAGGGACACATGATTGATGGGGTGTAGGGAATGGCCTTGGGGTGTTAGAAAGCTTCAGAGGGAGTGCACGTGGGACCCTCTGGGTTAGCTATGTGGAAGAATCATGAAACGGGTGAAATTTGCTCCTTTTTCAACATTCCACAAGGTGAAGTCTAAATGTTCTAGTTAAATGGCCACTTAAAACGCTATGCATGACCACAGAAGGAAAAAAGAGAAAATTCTGTGGGATTTGATTAGTTTGCATTGAGACAAGATGTGTTAATTAGGGAAATGATCCACACAAGAAACAGAATCATCCCCGGAGTGAGCGTGAGAGTAGCCGGGCCCACCTGTTCCAGGGCAGGCGTCCTTGGACTTCCACACTGAGTCAGAGAGCCAGGACAGCCACTTGCCTTGCCAATCACTGAATCAGAAACTCTTCTTTCCAGAACGTGCCATGAGGTCATGTAGTAGCTAACAGAAGACATCAGAGAAATGATGAGTGCTAGCCTTTCACGTGTTAGGGGAGAGCCCGGCCCAGGCTGTTCAGCAGGTGGCAGACTACGGAGCTGCTGTTCCCTTTGTTGCATCGAGTGAAGCTGACTGAAGGCCCGCTAGCCGCTGCGGGAGGCTACGCTCGACCGTCTCCTTGGTGATGTGGTTAGGTTGTAACGCTCTGGTATGGGGCATATCTGGAAATCACATCTCATGGAGCGAAGACCAGTTTCTAGGTCCCTACTGTGTATTGCTGGCTTTTTGTTTTCCTGTTCTTTGTTCATTTGTTCATCAGAAAAAAAAATGTACATCTGAGAAGGTTAATGTTAAAGGTGAAATAAAAATGAATTTAAATGAAAGATCTTTTACAAACATGTTTAAGACATTAAAATGGGCTAACCTAATGGAAAAAAGGCATGGATGTTACTTCTGTTTGAATGAGGATCTCTTAAGGGTTGCTTTTCACTAACAAAGAAGCAGAGCTCAATAATTGTGACAAATAGAAGTTTTCTTGTGCATCTACATACAAAAGATATTCCATGCATGTTTTGGTTTTTGCAAGCCTATTAATAAAATCCCACCCAGATGCATAAGAATTTGGGAAATAGCATTTTAGGGACAGAGAGGAAAGAAAAGACATATGCCAAAATGTATGCCTAGACAGGGTGTGCAGGAATTCCCAGGAGTTGCATTGTCAATGAGCCTGAATTTTAAAATGCTTCTTACACTAAATACCATATGCTCTGCTGAACAATAAGAAAACAAAAATTGGCTTCCAACTCTGGCGTTTAGGAAAGAACCTAAAGCAGAACAGGAGGCTTGCATATCTGTTAGGCATTCAGTTATTTAACAAATTGTGTGTGTGTGTGCATGTGTGTATAATACACAAAACTTTAAAATATATTCATAGACAAAAGAATTATTAACCAAACTGAAGAGAGAAGAGCTATTTAAGAATATATTTAACTATATTTAAGAATTCATTGTAAGTTAAAAACTGAATTGCAAAGATAAATATATTATTTTTAAAGTGTAAAATTCACTAAAATGGCTGGCACCGTGGCTCACTTAGCTAATCCTCCGCCTGTGGTGCCGGCACCCCAGGTTCTAGTCCCCGTCGGGGCACTGGATTCTGTCCCGGTTGCTCCTCTTCCAGTCCAGCTCTCTGTTGTGGCCCGGGAAGGCAGTGGAGGATGGCCCAAGTGCCTAGGCTCTGCACCCGCATGGGAGACCAGGAGGAAGTACCTGGCTCCTAGTTTCTGATCAGCGCAGCGGGCTGGTCGAAGTGTGCAGGCTGTGGAGGCCATTTGTGGGGTGAACCAGTGGAAGGAAGACCTTAAGACCTTTCTCTGTCTCTCTCTCTCTCTCACTGTCTAACTCTGCCTGTCAAAAAAAAAAAAAAATGCACTAAAATATCTAAAGAGTCTTGCCCCATGGCCAACATAAATATCAGAAGAACTGAGAGCTAAATGTTAAAAAACGTCATAAACTATGAACTCTTAAAAGAAAATATATGAATATATTGAACCTATCCTTGTACATATTAAAGTAAACAACAAAGGTAACTGATAAATAGGTTTAACTAAAACTGTAAAAAAAAAAAAAAACCTGTAAAATCCCTCATACCAAAAAACCATGAAAATGAAACTGAAATAAAACATTTGTTATAAGTATCAACAGTGAACATCTAATTGCCTTAATATGTAATGAAATTTTATAAGTCAATAAAAAGAATTGGAATACTTGGGGAGAACAATGAGCTGAAGATGTAGATAATGTGTAGAAAACAAAAATGTCAATTACGAAGTAACACACACACACAAGTGTATTTTTGTATAGCAAAGAGACCCAGAAACAAACCATTTTTAGTGTCACATGGACAAAGATAATGCTAGTCTTGGCACAGGCTACGGTGACTGGCACTGTTACTTAGTTCTAGAATGTGTGTAGACTGTTAGGGAATTTCTTGAAAGCAGGTCGACCAAGATAATGGAGCCCAGTGCTGGTGCCTCTTCCCTCTTCTGGTGTAGTCACTCTTCCACGCTCATCTTGTCTCTAATAGTGATTGCTAACTACCCCACCCCCACCCCACAGGCTTCTCTGTCCAGCTGCCTGCTCGTGTTCAGTGAGCTTGTCCAAAACAAAGTTCCCAATCATCTCCTGAAACCCTGTTCTGATTGTTCCCAAGGACATTTAATGGAAACCCCACCCTTAAGCTATTTGGTATGAAAATCTCCACAGTTAAAGCTCTATCCGATCCTTTTAGCCTAACCTCCTGTCTTACCACCTCCTGCTATCTCCTACTCCAAGGAGCCATCCTGTGCTCCATGGGTATTGTAACAGCCAATTGATTGGTCTGGCGTTTCTTTCTCTCTTTATAGCCTATTCTCAACACAGTATCCGGTCAACATATATGACTTTCTGTCTGTCTCTCTCTCTCCCTGTTACCTATTCCTCTGTGCTGTGTGGTTTATATTTATATATATAAAATGAGTCAAATTCATTGAACCTGTTAAAATACAAGTGTAGAGAAAATAAAATGAGTTTGATGCCAGTAGGCATATGTATTCTGTAGTTAGAGTCACAGTCTTAGAATTATGGATGTATTTTAGGACATAACCAGCAAACAGCTTCTGAACTCTATCAAGGATCCACGGTTTACTGCAGTGGCCTCCGTTAGACTTCCTGTTCCTCAATAAACCAAATCTTGCATGTTGTTTCATTTTCTGATGGATTCTTTCAAATATTTTCTGAATGACAGTATCAATTATAGCTATGAGGATTTGTTGAAAAGAAGGAAAATACAATGTACGAAGTCAAATGACTTTGTTTTACTGTTTCTGTTCTCTTGTTATAAAACAGGAATACATTTCCTCTATTACTAGTACAATGGAATGTAATGATGCACTATAGCTAATTAGAGAGAAACCTTTGCCCAATTACTGATACTTCCTTCCATCCTT